TTTTAAATATTCCTTCATAAAATTAAGAACTTGAAATATTAAAATTTGATTTATTAACTACATTTGGATGCCAAGTTTATTTGTATACATGGATAATAAATTAGTTTAATTAAATTTTGAATGTAACTCTGTAAAAGGTTAGGATGTGTGCACTTTGACTTACCCAATGCAAAAGGGTTAAGGAACTTGACCAAGGGTAGGCAATACTGAGATGCAAACGAGTGAGACAGGTGAAAAAATTGATGCAACGAAGTGTAAAAAACTTGCAAGCATTGATATATAGTGAAGACTATACCAACTGAAGGAGTTGGAGGACCCATCCAGTAAGGGCAGAATGCAAAAGGTCTTTGGATGAAGAGGGGTCTCAAGGGAAAAAAACAAATGATGGTGGGAACCCCAAAATGATATGTATGTCTAAAATAACACTTACCTGCTCAAACCAGACACAGAAGATGATCTGAATCCATTCAAGCACAAAGGTGAGACACAGAAGGGAGAGAGATTGGAGAGAGAGTACAATCACCTTCCTGAGTAACAGAAGTCTTATGAAGAAAGCCCTGGTTAGGATAAAGGAGCAAATAAGTATAGTAAAGCATTGGTGGTATAAACAACTGAACAATGGTGACCACAGATAAGAAGGAGAAGTAAGCATGTCCTGAGAGAAAGGTGGTATAAAAAAACAAGAAACCAATGAATTGAACTGAGCATGTACGAGATCGAGTAAAACAAGAAGGGCCCATTCAGGCAAGGGAATCAAACAAAGGGTATGGTAAAGAAAAGGAAAGAATGGGAAGGGCACAAAGGGAATGGCAAAGTTGCCCAATAACCAGTCACGGTGGAGACTGATAATCCAAGATCAAACAAGAAAGGTAGAAGAGTAAATAAGAATAGTGAAAATGTATGGGAAGTAGTGACGACATAAACATATGAATGACAGTGAATACAGGCAAGGAAAAGGAAACACACCCTGACATGAAGGTGGTAAAAAGAACAAGAAACCAAGAACACAAATGGTGGACATATAAAAGCATAAACAACCACATCAAGATCCCAGTCATGCTTAGGAATCATAAGAGGGAGTCAGTGAAGAAAGAAGGACTGAAACAACACAGAAAGAATAGGGGAAGAAACATTTGGTGATAATTGAATAGGCACACTGTGGTCAACAAAGTAGCCTGTGAACCAGCAAAGGTGGAGATGGACAATCCATGGTTAAATAGCCAACTGAAAAAAGACTGAAAGGTGGGCCATAAGAGGATAGCGTGGAAGAAGGGAGTGGCAGATGAACCAATGACCAAAAAACCAACACTACCATCAAACAGGTGTGGTGCAGTCTCCCGCTGAGGTGTGATGTTTTCTCTTTTGATTCCACACCTACTGGTCTCTCTTTGGGCACTTGCTAAAGGGGGATCATATTTTTTTATTGGCCATTCACCAGTTCAATGTGGGATTCTAGCTATCTAGTGAGTGGAAGTAAGATATTGTATCAGAAGTTAGCATTTTCCTACACTGAAAATATATTTCCAATAGATACTTATTGCCATTCACATTTCCCACCCAGCCTCCCCACTCCAAATAATATATCGTGTAGGTCTTCTGACCAATCTCGAAGTGATTAATGAGTACAAATGTGAAGAGGGCGCTGGTTGCGACATGAGTGGTGTCATACTCCTATTGGTGGAAAGCTGCTGCATGATGTGGAAATGCAGAAGCAGAAGGTGGAAGGCTAGTGGTGTGCATTGAAAATTTATGACAATAAAGGACGGTGTTAATCGAGAAAAGCTATTTTGTGAGAGGAGGTAAGACATCGTATAGGAATATTTAATTTCTTGTGCTAAATACAACTGCATTTTAGACAGATTTTCAGTTATTAGTGGTATATGTGTGATATAGTGGTATATATTAGTTGTATATGTGTGTGATAATAACATATTTCATGTTAATTATTGTCTCCCAAAAATATTTTATTGGCTAAGAATTTTTATTTAATATTACTACTCATCAGTTGACTAAACCTATGACATATACCACTAATATATCACACATATACCACTAATATATACACATATATCACACATATACCACTAATTTAAAATTAATAATGGACCAAGTGTAGACTGTTCCTTTCTTTGCTGGCATAAGCATTTCATGCCAGAGCATATCATGAATGTTTTTTTTCTTTTACCCTCTAAGATCTGAGTCTATATAATGATAATAATATCCACTTACCTCAACACTTGGTAACTCTGTTTCTTCTATTATTTTCTGTGATTCATTTACTTGCTTAACAGTTGAATGTTGTTTTTTGGGATGCTCACAATAAGTCCATTCTTCAATCAAGGCTTCTTTAGTTTCCTGAGGCTTCAGCTTTGTTTGGTACAGATTTGAATGCCTGAGATGCTTTTCCTTAAAACGCACCATTTGATGTCGAGGGTCTAAATGGTCTAGCTTTAGAGATAAGGAACGACTTGGTAGATGATGCAATTTATGACCTAAAACAAAGTAATTGCTCAAAGTGAATCTTAAAGAGACTTTATACTATAAAGACCACTCACTTTTTAAAATAGTTTTCAAGAGAAATCTCTTTCATAGTCTTAGAAGGTTGTCTCTTTTTCTCTACCTGGATTATAAGAAAACCTATTCTTTGAGATTATTTAATAATCAAATAAAAGTTAAGCATACCTTTAAAATTTTAATTTAAAAATGTTTAATATTTTAAACAAATAGACCTCACCGAGTTAAGTTCCAGGAGTTGTGCTGATTGGTGCTGGCCTTTCATATGGAAAGTGGATGTTTTGCAAGAAGTAGCAGAGCTATATTAATTATGGCTTTCTGGTTGTATAATGTCTTACTGATTCCCCATCTGTTTCTTTACCTAGCTAAACTATACAGTACTTTGTTTTCCACCAGTCTCGTTCCCCCTGAATGTCAAATAAGACCTTTCATAGCTGTCATTTTCACCTTGCTAATGATATCCTGTAGGCCCGGCATGGCCAGGTGGTTAGGGCTCTCGACTCGTAATCTGAGGGTCACAGGTTCGAATCCCCGTCACACCATACATGCCAACCTCCACCCTTGCCTGGTCCCAAGTCCAGGATGAAAAAGGAGGAGGGTTGGGCACGGGGCTAGCAACTCCACCCCATAAAAAACAACCTGCTACAAGTAACTGCAACAACAACTTCCGTTGGTGAGGTCTTGTTGCGGCCCTATGCTCCACTGGGAGTTTACAGGAATAAAAAAAAAATGATATCCTGTGAGCA